CCCCCCCCCCCCCGGGGCCCCCGATTGTATTGTAACGCATCTTATCACGGACCTTCCGGCTCACAATCTCGATATAGGGCGCTGGTTTTGCTCCGGAGGTAGCCGTCGCTGCCACCTGGTCGAACTGACGCACGCGCATCGGAGAATCTGGGCCTTTCATATCGAGGTAGAGGCATGGCGAGGTTTTACATCGTCACCACTCAGCGAGAGCGGACTAGGTGACCTTCGCGCGTCGTCCTCCGCAGCTGCTTTAGGCACCAACGGTGGCTGGGGATGCGAGATGATCTCGAAGCTCATGTTTTCTTCATGACCGGCGAAACTCGAATTCGAGCCATCTCCTTCTTCATTCTCGGCCCTCGCCGTCACGGTGGTTTCCATAATACCAGCATCAGCCGTCCGATCCAAATCGTCCACCTTCAAATCTTCGACGTCATCATTTCCTGGTCAGCTGTTAGGCGTTGGAAGCTCCACTATACTATTTGAACCATGTTCGGCGTTGTCATAAAGAATTTATCAAAAGGAGAACGATTATATAAGGGTAGTGAAAACCCTTCGCGATCGCCCTGAGTCGCTAAATGTGACTCACCTTCTGAGGGTGTCGGGAGTTTTGACAAGATAGTTTGTGCGGCCGACATATTGGAGAGCTCTCCCGCAACGGCGATCCGTGATTGTCCACCGATTCGTCTCCTAAGGCTTACGGCCGCGATGATCTCATCGGGTAAGCTTTTCACGTCCGTGGCGGTGAGGATGCTGGGTAGTTTCTCGAGAATACCGTGTTCGATTACGAGTGGTATCAGACCGTTCACGACCTTATCGATCTTGGCCTGGACACAACGCCGCCGGTTAGCCTCTATTTTCTCCCGTTACAGCTCCCGTGGCGGCGAAGGAATGCACCTCTCGAAATGGGTACTCACCTGGAAGTATATGCGGAGATAACTCCTGACATCCATCAGCAACACGGGACAGGCCGCCCGGTGCGCCAACCAATCCTCCACGTCGACCGACAGGTGCGGAGAGTGACGTCGCTCTGCCTGAAAACTTTGAGACATAGCCTTCCGGAACTGCATATTCTTCCACTTCAGCATCAATTCTTTGAAGTAGACATCATACGTCATAGCCGAGGCGGCCCTGAAGGAATCCATAATTTGTCTCGCCATCCCGCGAACGCCCCCGTGGAGATTTCCCATCGCAGGAGTGACTATATGCTCTCGGATTGCATTGATTGTCACCAGGTCGCCGCCGGGGAAGCCGTGTAAAGTGACGTCCACCATCCTCTCCGCCATCGCCCAGACACGCTCGAGGAACAACTCAATCAAATTCACCAGCTTGTCTGCACACTGCGAATAAAGCTCGGTGAAATGTTCGAGTGGGACGGGCTCAGGGAAGACTGGATCTTGCATGAGATCGACGTTAGTCCACAATGGCTGTCGGTCCCACAGACAGCTCTGACGTTGGGGCCGTTGGAAGGGGATGTGCTGGAGCTGCTCTTCCCCTTGGTGGTGCAGACTACGGATAAAAGGGTCGTACTCTAGTCGAACTACCTGGCATAGCTCGTGGGTTGCGGCGACCAACATCTCCGAGATTTCTTTGACGACACAGACGAGTTCTGCGCGTGACCTCTCGTCGAGTCGTTCGAGCATTTGCTCGCATCTGAGGGCATTCTGCTCGACATAATAGGTCAAAGCGTCGAGCTCAGCGACAACCAACCTCGTTGCCCAGGTGACCACATCCGCTCGCACCGCGGCCTGGGCCGTATTATCCAACGAAGGATCCAGCCTGTAGATCTCAGGCTGCCATTCTACACCCGTTTCCGGCTCAACGTGAAGGTCGCCGTGCGGGCCCGGGGGGTTCCAAGCGGGATCATTATCCCCTCGAGCTCTCGGGGCCGTCAGGACAAGGAGGGTCCGACGACCGCGTGGATCACATTTCCGAGCATATTGGGCGGCGGCAAGTCTCGCTGCCTCGCCGACACCGGTCGAGGTAACGAGAATAAAGACGGCGCCGTGCGGGTTCCGACTATGCGGCGCTATCGGTGGGTTTCGATAGCGCCTGTGGCTGGCATCCGAGCCCAGGTGAGGGACATGGACGAAGCTGAAATCTGGGCGGTCGTCGGAGAGTAGTTTAATGCCCAGTATCTCCTCGGGCGATATTCCCCTTTCGTCTGGCCGCCACTCTAACGCGCCCGCGTCAGCGGTGGCAGGCGAAGGGAGACTAAGCTGCGCGTTCCTGCGGGCGGGCGGAGAGTCAGCCCCTGTACCGCTCCCATTTCGACCCACAGACCTCTCGACGAAGACATTGACCTCTTCCTGTTCGCTATAGCGGAGTACGACGTGGGTGGGGAGCGCCGCTCCGACCTTGTCGTTAGTTTCGGGGTAGACGACTCCTATCAGGGCTTCGATGAGACTGGCCGCAGCGGTCGGGCGATCTCCAGCGACAATAACCTGCGGCAGGTTCAAATCCCTTTCGAGAACCGACGACTGAGCATGCAATTCATCGACCATGTCGAAGATCGCCCTGGCTCTCAGGGGATGTATATAAGACCGACCCGGCCAATTACGCCGGTGCTTCATCTTGCGAGTACGTTTGTTTGCGATAGACCGTCCAGGTATCTCTAGGCTCCTCTTGTACACTGCTCCGTACACTGTTGGTGTGTACGGCCAGTTCCTCGTAAGGATTGGAGTATGATTGCTATGCGGAGGCGGAGGAAAATCTCTCCCTAATATCACGACTGATGCGTGAGACGAGCTGAGCTTTGTTAATGCAAATCCCGTTATGAAATAGTTCGAGCGAGAAGAAAGAAATATTGAAGAGAAGAATAATAAAGGTATATTGAGAGTAAGGGCGTACAGTAGCGTGAGAATCTGGAAAGTTGAATTAACCAGCTCCAGGACTTGGTAATCTGGCCGACTACTTTGGACGAAGTTCCATTCGCTTTGTGTTCCACCCAAATCACAGCAGTACTGTAACGTGCACCATACCGCCAACTTCAAAATACCCATTCATAGTCACATTTTGACCTATGGGAGTTTCTAAGAGAAACCAACAAGTTAAAGGAAGTAGCGGGCCGCTGGGTAATACGCTCGAGAAGAACAAACTAGACGTCGAGTGTCCAATAATCGTTAAAGATTGTAAGAGGGTCAAATAGAGAGGATACCCCGCTGGAGAAA